AGTTATGACCTTTGTACTCTTTTGCTGCTTTAAGTAGGTTGCTAAGCCTTTAAAAATTTTGCACATGGAGAATATGAAAGAAAATAGATTTTTTTAGATTTTATATATACAGTTGAATAACTAAAAAATCATAAATTACTACATCAATACCATATAATTCAACTATAATTTGTCAAGCTTAATAACCAAGCTTTATTTGGGTCTAAAAAAATATGAAATTTCAAGCAGATTAAAGACTCAACCTACCTCATTGAAATCTTTTGAAATTGAGCTTTTGATTGGTTATTCATGTCATATATGGAAGTAAGTGTATATAACGGAGTGTTTCCAAAAATGGAAAAAGGTGGGCAGGGTGCCACTATTGTTGATTTATTATGTGAGCAATATTTTAGCAAATAGAAAAGACCTTCTTATTTTATATTCTAGCTTGTCAATATCTGTAATTTGAGTTCCTAATTCGTACAAAACTATAGACTTAGTATTTTGACTTCACAAACATCTAATTTGAACCAGTGCTGCATTCAACATACCACGTGACACACAAAAATCAATGTTTATCTGTGTTTTTTATATTTACTTTTAAATTAAGAAATTGAGTAATACATAATGCTAAAATTTGTATTATAATCTACAGTTTGATATCAAACTTATTGACATACATTCATGAAATTATAGTTTAATAAAATTTTGAATGCGAGTCAACAAATGAGATGACATGGTCTTTCACCCATGACCCATCTGCAAAGGTTAAAAAAAACTTTTGTTATTTATGTACGAGGTTCTAGAGGTTGTGCAAATTTATTATGGAAACAACATTTAAGGGTTGTGTGCATCTTAGCACCTACCTTGAGAAGTGTGTACTGACAGCTGGCTATTACAAAACAGAACACAAAAGTCCATATATCATGAAAAAAATTATTAGCAAGGCACAAAGCCCCAAGGATGGCGACCAGCACCACCAGCATGACTGACACCACATTTTCAGTGATGGTTATATTCCTAAAAGAGAAAAAAATAATGAATCATAGACCATAGATTTCTTGTTACTATTTCATTTGAAATACATGTTTGGTAAGCATTCTAATCTAAAAACAATGTCAACTATAAAAATAAACCTATCATTCTATAGGTGTTTGAAGAGCCAGACTAGTTTTGGAGAATTCCACTCCTCATCAGTGACCCTAGACACACACCCAATGAAAGAATAGACCATTCCAAGCTTTTACTTGTTCTTAAACAAACGTTTAAACAACTCTATTCAATTATGTATCAGCTGCTCAGTGTTGGCTAACAGTACGAAGAATTAAATTGTGGCGGAATGCTAAAAGTTCTTCAAATACCTAAAGAATGACAGGTTTATTTTTCTGAGTGTAAAACACTTAAATATACCATTTTGATTTTCGATACCTCACTAATATAAAGGCTTGGTTTGGTCTGAAGTTTCATTGGTGGTTGTGTCCAGGGTCACTGATGAGGAGTGGAATTCTCCAAAAGTAGTCCGGCTCACAGACACTCCCCCAATGAAAGAATATACCATTCCCAGCTTTTACTTGTTGTTAAACAAATGTTTAATCAACTCTGTTCAATAATGTCAACTATAATTTAATGATAAAATAGAACTACAATTTTAGTGCTTTTAATTTACAGATAAACACCTAACATCCAACTGAACTAAAAACATCTCAGAAAATCATTCTCAAAACTACTTAAAATGTCAAAAAACAAGTCTGCCACACCAGGAAAGAAAACATCAACTTTAGGACAAGTTTAGGATTGGTTTCATGTTCTTAAAATTATTTAATTAAAAAATAAAATAACATAATACCATAAGAAATTTATTTTCTGTAACTATGGTGAAACTAACTTTAACTTAAAGTCTATTAAAAATTAATTTTAAAAGACATAACACACTCTTACTTAACAGTTGTTTCATGAAATTCCTTTTCCACCATTATCACATTTACATTTTCCACAGAAACAAATCAACTCTCGTAAGTAACATTCTGGTACTAGTTTCTCCAATTTATTTAGGCCAAAAGGTTTAAGCCGCAAAATATTTTTTGATACATTATTGAAAACATTAAATTATTAATAAACCTTTTATTTAATAGCTAAAAATCATATTACTGCAGCAGAATATCTAATTTATCATGCCAGTTCAGTAGCCTATACATTGTACTTAAAAGTCTGTGATTTGAAGAGGCACCTTTTTTTGGACCAAGCTGGCCCTAACACAAAATAACTTTTATTCAACTACAGCAAAGTATCAGTTACAATTAAACTATGACCCATTTAAAATTAATCCTAAAAAAAACTAGAAAATAATCTCAAATGGCTGAAATACTTTATGCAGAAAATGGTAAAACATGTAGTTACTTTTGAGCACATTTTAAAATTTACAATTTAATAAACTGAATATATCTACATTATTATGAAGCACTAATGATGAATAAACGTACTTACCTCTATCAGTCTACACACAAACTACATTGATTCATAAATTACCTGTCCAGCAGGGCTAACAGTGTTAATCTGTCAAATCTCACTCGTAGGTACTTGCACGGAACTATCCAGAACTTGTAGAATTGGCGAGGTTTCTGCGGGTAGCCACAAGAGTCCGTGAACCTAATACGACAGCTAGATGCTAGGTCTGTGTCAGTTCCTGCCTGAGAAATAGCAGCCTGGGAGACATTGGAAGCGGCAGCCACTCCGAGAGCACCAGCTGTCATGCCTTGAGTGGCACGACTAAGTAATGACTCGGCAAAGATCTGGAGAGGAGTCCGCGAAATGTTGTAAGCATGACTTTGAGACAAACTAGAAGAAGGAGCATCCCCTCCCCCTACTTCCTGTTCAGCTCTGGGTGCAGGCAGAAGACTAGCTGCAGAAGCTGTTGGAAGGTCAAGGCCAGACTTCAGTGAAGTAGGAAGCTTTAGAGCATGTAAAACAGCTGCTGGACTGTCTAAAATAACAGTTGATCCAGAACTTGACGATGTCTGAGATGTTCCATTCCTGCAACAACAAAAATTGTAGTTTTTCAATTAATACATATTCCAAACACTATTAATGAACAAATTAATACGCAAATATGCCAGAATGTCACATGAATACAAAATCTACACACAAAAAAAATAAAGTAGTTTATAACAGCTGAAAATTATTAAATACTGTATACCATATGATACATCTAAATTTTTTTTACAGCATAAATCAAAAATGAGATAAGGAAAGTCGTTGCAACTAACTACATAATCTAAACAATGCCTTGAAATCACAGTTTTAAAACAATTACACATATGTAAAAAAGAAATAAAATGTTGTTTCTAATATAAAGAAGATTGAAATATTCTTAGTAACAGTAAATACACTAATCAATTCATGTGGTTTACAATTAAACCACTTAAGTTTTCTAGTTAAGAAGTCATAAATAATATTTACGATATCAGATTTGTTCTTGACACTGCTAACAAATCAGTTCCTTCAAACAATGGTCACAAATCATACATTTAATGTTTTTCTTTTAAATCTCAAGAAAACTGATATTATAAGAACTTTTAGTAAAAATAACTGCAAAAAGAGGAATAGATAAAAAGATATAAATACAGAAATTATGGGGGCCACTATGTATATATTATTATTAACATATAAAGCAATTAAATATTTTTATATAGATTTTAAAATGTTCTTTTGAATTCCATATTCCCACAAATGCTGCCTAAACACATTCTCAACAAACACGATAATTCATTACTTTTTTGTTCAGGAAGTGGTACTTTAACCCTATGGACTTGCGTTTATTTGGACTGGAATTTTCATACATTAGATGTCTTAGTAAGTACAACTTTGCACATCTGTAGATGTATTAATGATATTCTTGTAGTTAATTATAAATGTTTTCGAGAACAAATTTATCCATCAGAACCCAGTCTAAAAATCTCTTTCGCTAACAATAAAAAGACAATATCTGATTTCAGGCATCAGCATCAATAATCAAACATTTGAGTTCAAAGTGATCAAATTTAAAGTTTTTAATTAACTTTCTATTCCAAAATAATATGAACATTCCAAATGTGTCATGTTATAATATTTACTACTCACAGTTTATTATATACAAAAGAATTTGTTCATCTTCACAAGATTCCTTGCTTGGATAAAACTCAAATTCACATTAATTGTTCACATATCAGATTTTCTCCTATCACATTTTAAGCACAAAGTTCATTCAGTTCGGTGGGAAATACAACATATTCTTGCTAATGATTACGGGTTAAGAAGTTTTACAGAATACTGTGATCTTTAAAAAGTCTTCACGTCTACACTTTAATTCCTATGGAAATGGTTTAGGATACTTGTGAACCACTTTAATATACTTACAACCATTGATTTTACCTCCTTTAAGTTAATTTTAATATGTATAGCTAATGCAGTAGCCCCTGGTGGATATGAACCCTCCCAATAACGACTTCCTTTTAAATACGACTTTTTTTTCTGTGCATGGAATGATTTTACATTGATCTGACCTCTCTGACAGATACGACATACGACCATGATTTTTTGGGGGAAGGTTGATTAACGACTTTTCTTCATATCAATAATGTAATTTATAGCGACACACAAATACAGTGTATACAATATGGAACTGAATCTGGTTTACAAATTTCTTCCGGTTTCTCTGATGTAGAATTCTGGACATTTATTGCACTTTATTTTATAAATTGATACTAAAATCGTGAGCTGAAAACTTACAATAAAAACACTTCTTGATATAATAACTGCCAGACTCATGAACATTCAAAGTGACTCTGTTAAATGTGCAAAACAAACAAAGATTGATGATTTTTCATTAAATAAATTTCATCATTTTGTAATATTTTATACGAATGTAATAAAAATGTGATACATGGATGTTTATGAAATAAATTTGATCAATGAATAAATTATTTTACATAAAACACAAAACAATTTTAAGTTATCTTTATTGAACAGTTATCCAACATTATTATTATATAGTGTATCAATCTGCTACATTATCTGACTACCTATTCAGTATATTAACCTTTATACTCAAACCCCTGGGAATAGCAACTGGCACAGCTTGAACTCGGTCAATCGTTATCTGGTTACTGATCGTTTGAATAACGACTTCCTATCCGATGCGACTTTTTTATCATGGCAGATAGGTCGGTCGTCTCTAAGAGGGCCTACTGTACTCACTATATAACAGTTCTGTATATAGTATAACTTTAAATCTTTGGTCAGTTTGTTACTTTTTTCAAATTACTTTCTTTGCCATATTTAAAACTGTTGCAATTTTTCTTTCTAAGCCTGGATATTATTTTTAAATTTTTCGAGGCTTATTGAATTTACAATTTGGCTTTTACAGAAAATTTAACTGTTATTACTTCCTACTACCCACTCCATATGTTTGTTAAGTGACAGAGGTTAGTTAATCACACACACACACACATCATAGTACTTGTGAGGTACTGTTTTCTTTGTATTACATTTAAAATTGTGATATTTTCATTACAGAACCAATATTGTAGCTATCTATCATGTGATTCAGGTATTTATTTAACTTATTATTTTGTAATATTAGTTTTTGGCTGTACTCTTAGTACTGTCCCACTACTTGACTCCACACCTAAAGAGTAACATGTGTTGCAGTAATTTATCTTGGATGTCGAGCTCCTCTAACTTTACATTGTCAGAGCTGTTTAATAGGTTTTAATTGGTCACAAGATGGTTTTAGGGCGGGTGGTGGAAAGTTCAACTTAAAAACAGTTACAATGATGTTACATTATTTGAGTAAACTTTATCTACAACAGTACTTGAAGCTAAAGGCTAGTGTTTGTTTGTTCCATAAGTAAGGTATGGTATGCTATTTCTTTATTGTTACTTCCAATAACATTATTGGTTAGAATATTTAATATATCTAATTTCATTACATTCTAATGTATTTTTTATTTCCCTACTTTCTTGATTAGACATTGTTTTGCATTGTTAATATACTTATGATAACCTAAGTTTCCTAAGTTGGCCAAACCTCATGAGAAAATATTTGGATTACAGCAGAAAACATCCTTAATATCAAGGGTACTCAACTAATGAACAATGTATTCTAATCTTTATCAGCAAAATGATAAGAAAATTATATTTAATTAGCTGTACTCATTATCAAGTTATTGTTTTGTTTTTTTTTGCTGTAATGAGGTAGCATGCTTTGATCAGATGTTAATATTACTATGTACCGTACACCCTAGATGACCTGTGATGAACAAGCAATACAACTTACCATGTGTTGAATGATAAGAAAAAACTACTTACCAATGAGATACAGTTTTATGATCTTGAACATTACATTCCTAGAGTAATGTCTCTTAATCAGAAAAACTCAAAATTTGGTTTTATAAAATTCATGTACAGGAATTTAGAAGCTCATGTCTAATGTTGATTTATCTAGGGTGCCCAAGTTACAAACACTAAAAGCAAGTTTCTATCAATGTGATATTTTCAGCATACATACCATTTTGAGTTTATTGCAGCTTCTAATGTCTTGGGATCAAACGTGCCTTCTAATCCACGGGCAAGCCCACAACTGTGTTCATCAAATGTGTACGTAAACCAATTACCTGTGGTAAAGCACCTGAAGATGTGATAACGGCTGCTTCTGTCTAGTGTGTAGGAATGAAAGATAACTTGTCATTGTGCTGAAGCCCGATGTTTTGTGAATGTGACTTTGTATTAACATACATGAACAAGGTGGTTAATATTAGGTTTAAGTTTGTTCACTGTCAGTTTCACTTTGTATTAACATACATGAACAAGGATGAAGCAATGGTGGTTAATATTAGGTTTAAGTTTGTTCACTGTCAGTTTCACTTTTAGTGGATTGTTTGTAAAAGTCACTTCCTAATTTATATCTGAGTGAAATGTTTTTATTAAACACTTTGCATTATTATACGTCATAAAAACTTTGGATCCAAGACTTATCACCAAATTTAAATATAATTTTGTCTCTCAAAACTGTCAGCATCATTTATGTGTAAACACAAAATGTGTCTTCAGCTTTATTATTATACATCATATAAAAAAAATAAAAGTAGCAAAACATGACTTCTACAACTATTTTGTCGAAAAACAAAACATGTATTCTATACTTGCGTACATTCTGGTCAAGTTTCATAGTTCACTACTTTTTCTATCAGCGATCAATGTATTTTGATAAAAATGTGTCTAATTATTTGATGTTTAACCTTTTCCAATCCAGCAATGCAGGAAACAGATGAAGTTTTTATTAAGAAATTGATTCTTTGTTAATATAAATACACAAAATGCTAATCTGTGAGAACCTGTATTTGTTTATGGTAAACCTACTGAGCCTACTTGCCACCATTCCTAATTTTAAACTGTTGGTCAGCAGTATCCATCACCAACTCTTGTGCTACTCTTTTACCAACAAATTATGGTATTGATCATCACATTCTAATGCTCTCACAATTGAAAGAGCAAGCATGATCAGCAACCACGTTTTGATCCCTGCACATGTCAAGTAGAACATCCTAACCACCAAGTCAATAGCTTGTATTTTCTTTGCTTCTTTCATAGAATACAATGTATAGCAAAGGTTGGTAACAGTAAATCATGTTCTTACACAAAAGACCAACATTAAAGTAAAAAAAAAAGTCTATTTGTTATAAAAACTATTGGAAGATCCCATTCCTGCTGTGGAATCTAAGGATCTTTCTCTTTGTTAATATAGTGGAAAGGACTGTGTCCTCTCTGTATTTTAGCCACTACGGTCAACATCCTTGTCTCTCTCTCTCTCTCTCTCTTGCATAACAAGATGTTTTTGCAGAAAATCCATAACTTTAACAGTATTATATGGTAACTATATCAAACTTGAAGTTTTTATATAAAAAAAAATACAATTTTCACACCTAAAGATCAATATTAGCATTTTCAGCCAGAATAGCACTTTACATGGGTTCAACAGCAAGGTGAGAGACACTTTGGGTTCAGCTAGTCATCCCCAATTTTAAACTGATAGTTAGTATATATTAAGCTCAAGAAATGGAGAGAGTATCGTCTTAACATAAGGTAAATGTGATATACTTATGTTTTTCTTTGTTTTGGGGTTTGTTTGTGATGCTCACGTTTTTCACTATCATTTTCATGATTAACGTTCTGAGATACTAAGAGACTTTATTTGATCCAGAGCTCAGAATTAATTTTTGCAATATTATATCTTAAGCGGAAAATTGTTAGGTGGTGGGATTGACAGCACATCAAACGAAAACAAGGTATTTTAAATTTTATAACAGAAATCTGATAAATTACTAAGAAATGTACTTTGCAGATTAATAAAAGTTAAATAACCCGTTAGAATGGGAGACAAAAGGAAACGTTTCTTAAAAGTTTCTCGAGAACTGTTTGTATTTTATTACACAGTAAGCTGGATGTTACGATAAAAAGCAGCATGTGGGAATTTAAGAGGTTAATTAAGCAATTAGTAGTGCATCATCGTCAGTAAGGATTGACCATGTTGCAATCATGGATAAGTAACTTCATTAACTATCTGTTGAGGAAGCAATTTTACAGAAACTCTAAAAATTTTAGCATTCTCTTTTATTATCTTGCAAGACCATTATTATTATTACACAATAGCAAAGTTGCATAGTGAGATTATACAATATAAAATATGAGTAAACCATATGGGATAAAAATGTTCTTTCCCTTAAATTTTCTTAATGCTTGAACAGTGAAATTTCCCACTTTGCAAAATTCTCTTGTTATTCTCTTATTTTAAGTTAAATGTTTTCTTTGGCTGTTCAATATCTGAAAGTAAATTTTAAGTTTGAGAGAAATTTATAACTTATTATAATTGACACAAAAAAAAAAGAGTGTATGATGTTTGTCAACAGAAAAATCTGACACAGAATAATGTAAAACAAAAACAATTACTCACAACTGTGCATCGAAAGAGGTAAAAAAATAAATCTGTATTTGTGAATTTTGAAAATCCTTCAAAAATGCTCATGATGGCAATAAAAACAGAAAAATAAAATCAAGGAGCTGAAAAAGTGTTTCAGATTTTATTCTTCTAAAACTTATGTTGTGGTTCATGTCAATATATATATATATATATCATATGTACTAAAGTGTGGTCACGTTGTAGACTATAATATTATCAGCAAGCTCTATATTTATGGCCTCATTCATTTTGACCAACCTGAAAACCATCAAGTAACCACAAAAGTATATATACTATAACTTTTAATGTATTAAGTGTATCTTCATGAAATTTGGCAAGCTTTTGGTAAACATTTTTTAATTAAGTATCTTTGCTAAAGACCTGTCTGAATTTATCAAGTTAGAGCATGATTCAGACTAGTCTGAGAGCAAGGTTATAAAAAAAATATTTTTATTTTACAGTTTTCAAATTTTATTTGAATAATCTCTAGAACCTCCTAAATGAAAATCATATGAATATTTTTTAATTAAGTATCTTTGCCAAAGACCTGTCTTTGAATTTATCAAGTTAGAGCATGATTCAGACTAGTCTGAGAGCAAGGTTATAAAAAAACATTTTTATCTTACAGTTTTCAAATTTTATTTGAATAACCTCTAGAACCTCCTAATGGAAAATCATATGAACTTTTTTATTAAATTTTCATATTTTATCTGTTATTATCTCTATCCTAGCACTATATGGCTTTGTTTGTTTTTTGTTAAGCAAAGCTATGCAAAGCTGGCATCTTTGAGTGTGGAAAATTTATGATGATAAATGTTACTATTTAAACTCTATTGAACTAGTAGCAGTAACTTACCCAAAATTGATGTTTATAAATATATAAAAAAGGAAGAAAAAAAAATACATGAATTGTCTATGAAAATATCACAATGTTAAACAAAATACAAAGAAAACAACATGCTAAACATACCATGAGGAGTGTATTAAAGAATGACTTGGATCAATTTGTAAGTTGGACGATTACTTTAAATCACCTTTAATTATAGTAAGTGCAGAGTAATGCACTTGCATTATCATAACTTAGGTCACACTTTAACCTTCTCGCTATGGGCTTGGTTGTTTTGATCATGTTCCTAGCCCCAGAGTAACCCAGAGTAAATATTACAAGTCTTTTGTACACAAAAAGTCAGATTTTTTCCTTGAGTATTTTTACTAAAAATTTGTACATGGATATATGGAGTTAAAGTGTTGACTGCTCCGAATGCAAAGTAAGTTTCATGTTAAAGTTAAAAATAGTCTTCTTCATCTGAAAACTCTCAAATTTCATTTGCATTATCTCTAAAACCTCCTAAATAAATATCAAATGTTTTGTTTTCAGTAAAACATAATAATTTATCTGTTATTTTCTCTACCATAACTTTATATGCATTTGGTCAATTTGACAGACCTTGTATCCACAATAAAAAAAATATGAAATGAATCTAAATTACCCTTTCTTCTTTCTAGAGTGACTGAAAATGGTAACAGAAAAATAAAACTGTTTATCCTAAATAGCTTAAAGCTCATAACGGTATATATCTGTTTATACAAGTTGTAACTCACTTGGCAAATGCATAACTGAGGTTACCGTATTGAATAATGTAATGCACACGCTGCTCGCAAGCACACCTCATGAACAATTATTATTATTTATTATCTTACCTAATCTAATCTTATCTAACCTAATAAGATAATAATTTTTACATTTTAGTTACTTTATAATACTAAATAAAGAAGATACATGAAAAACAAGGAATGTGGTACTTACCTGTGTCATTGTTGTTGTTTTTTTGCTGTTAATTGTCAATGAAAGTTAAGTCTACTTTTGTTTATACTAATGATACTAATACATTAAATAATTTTTATTTAATTAAATAATGCACCTGACAAAATAACAACATACAAAAAGCAGACAATGTCCTATAACTATCATAATTTATTTGGCTTTCTAACTTTGCATTAAGAATCTTTAAAAATTTAGCTATGCTTGTCAATGTGAATACTGCTTGTGAAATTTTCAAACTGGAAGCAAAACAGACAATACTCTGCATGGAAAACAATGTAATATGATACAAAAGTTGGATTTCTATTAGTTATAAATAATATAGTATAAAACATTAGAGAGAGAACTACTGGCAATTTGTGAAAGAGAGGATGTGACAGGTGGGCATGGCAAGTGGGTCTGATTTTCTAGTTTATGGCACCATAAACAAATAGAATTGAAGGCTATAAAAATTATGCTTTGCCTTAGTAATATCTATATTATAATGAGCAATTTACATTAAACAAAAAATTCTGTACTTCTCAGAGGGGTGGTAAATAAATTATAGAAGAGAAGAAGACTTAGAAACGAATGT